CAATAATTAATTAGAATTTGGTTGCTACGAGTTATTTAATAATCCCTGTGGAGAACGACCTTGTGAGAATCATTTATAATACAATAACCTTGTCATTCTTGCAAGTTTTGTAGGAGTTTTAACCCTGTTTGCGCATGTACTAAAAAGCCTATCAAGAAATTGGCACCGTTGCCGGGGATTATTTAAAATAATTCGTTCTAATAAGATTCTGCATTAATTATTGCTGTACATACATACCAAAAAAAAGAAAAAAAAGAAAAAGAAATAATTTTTGTTTTTATTTATTTTTGCAGATCACAGCAAGGCAGTGCAGATTACAATCTGTGCATGGTCAGCACACGTTCAACAGTTCAGCAATTGTTTCCGTTTGATCCAGAACCTGAGCAATCTTTAAGGAGGAGACGCTGGGAGCAAAATTTGCTGTGGGTTCCTTCACTGCAAGGGACTTTTCTGCAGTCTTTATATTCTGAGGACCTGCACAGTACAGAAACAATGGCTTTTGTTATTCCAGAGGCTGGTGATCCTTTGGGTAATTCTTTAACAGCTCATGCCACTAACATACCAGGTTGCATTACATATCCAGCAGTGGAAGAAGGGTCTACATTCGAAATCAAGCATCACATGTTGAGTATTCTACCTACATTTCATGGGTTATCAACCGATGATCCTAACATGCACATTGCAGAATTTTTAATGGGATGCAAGAATATTTTGGTGAAAGGATTCTCAGCTGAATCTATTAAGCTTCGTCTATTTCCTTACACATTGAAAGATCAAGCAAGGAGATGGCTCCTCACACTTCCATCTGGAAGCATTAGCACTTGGAACCAACTCAGTGAAAAATTCTTAAACAAGTATTATCCAGCTTCAAAGACTCTCGACATGAGAACTCAAATTTTATCTTTTGCCCAAAAACCAAATGAAGAGTTTCATGAGGCGTGGGAACGGTTTAAAGAGTTGAATAGAAATGTCCACATTCTGGTATTAACAGTACGGATCAAGTGCATATATATTTCATAGGGTTAAATATGACAACAAAAACTCTTGTCAACGCTTCATGTGGAGGATCATACAAGGATAAAAATGCACAAGAGGCTTGTTTATTATTTGAAAAAATGGCAGCAGATACACAGCAATGGGCAGTTGAGCAGCCACAATCAAGGTCTGTTTTTGAGATATCTAATGGTTCTCCATATATGTCGGCACAAATTGAAAAAATGGAGAAAAAGCTTGAAAGATTTGAGGCAAAATTTGACATGTTATTACAAAGAATTCCAGGTTCACAGGTTGCTATACAACAACCTTTGCCAGCTGCCTGTAGCATTTGCAATGTGACAACCCATGATTTTTTGAGATGTCCGCATAAAGATGCTTATCCGGAATTTGCAGCAGAACAAGTTAATGCATTTAATAATTTTCAGGGTCCACGATATGACCCGTATTCAAATGTTTACAACCCGGGTTGGAGAGATCATCCTAATTTTAAGTGGGACAGAGATCAGCCTGCAAGGCCACAATTTCAACAACAGGTACAGCAAACTGCTGCGCCTAAGGCTGCTTGGGAGGGTGCAATTGAAAAATTAGCAAATGCCACCAGTCAAGAATTCCAAAATCTGCAGGCAACAGTGAAAAACATAGAAAAACAAATGGGGCAGATTGCATTCCAAGTTTCAGAAAGAGCACCAGGTACATTTCCTAGCCAAACGGAACATAATCCAAGGGGAGGCGCAGATTGTAAGGCAGTTCGAGTTCTACGTTCGGGTAAAGTTATGACAATAGAGGTGAAATTTGTGTTGGAAATTCGCAGGCAGCATCACAGCCACAAACAGATTCAGGAAATTTTGCAGAATATGATATTGTTACAGATTCTATAGAGTCTGTGGGCAGATCTAAAAATAGTGCAAAAATTGCTGCAGAAACTGCAGAACGTGTTTATGTGCCTCCAATGCCTTATCCCAAAAGGTTGAAGT